CATGTGGTGTCTTAACCACTGGCCTCAGTACAGCCACTGAGACAGTTTGGCAGTTTCTTTCATATCAAAAAGTCTTATAAGATCCAGCAGTAGTGTGCCTTGGTATTTACTTGCTATGAGTCGAACACATGTTCACACGAAAATCTGCATGTGCATATTTATAGCTACTGTATTCCTAACTGCCAACACTTGGAAGCAATTAACATGTTTTTCAATAGAATAGTTAAATAAATTGTGATACACTCATACAAAGGAATATTGTTTAGCAAATTTTTAAAAAACGAGTTATCAAGCCACAAAATATCATGGAGGAAACTAAAATGCACATTCTTAAGTGAAAGAAGCCAACCTTAAAAGCCTACACACCGTAAGAGTTTAACCATTTGATAGTCTGGAAAAGCAAAACTATAATAGAGACAGTAAAAGACAAGCAGTGGCCAGGTTTTCACAGTAGCAATCAATAGAATGAACAACAGGGATTTTTCAGGGCTGTGAACCATTGTGTATGATGACGGGTACAGGCATACATTTGTCAAAACCCACAGAACTGTCCTGCACCAAGAATGAATTGTACTTCATGGTTTCCATTTAAAATAACGTTGTCAAAGGATGGAGAATTGTCAATGAGTCTTTTGGTTTTTGTCCCCACCAGGTAACTGAATGCCAATCTAATCAGCAATTTTTTTTCTCCTGCGAAATTGTACTTAAAGCCGACTGCCACCAGTCCCCTTTGGGTTTTCCTCTCTTGGAAGCCCCCTCCATGCCGCTCTGGCTGGAGATCCTTGATTCTAATACTTTTAAATCTCAAAATAAAATAAAACAATGCGTCAATATCCAGTTTAAATACCACCATCATTAAGACTATGGTTTCAGCTACTAACTCGTTCAGAATGTGGACAAAGTGGTGCTATAAGAACACACCACAGAAGTGAAGGGTTGGCCGGCGCCACGGCTCACTAAGCTAATCCTCCGCCTGCCGCGGTTGCCCCTCTTCCAAGCCAGCTCTCTGCTGTGGCCAGGGAATGCAGTGGAAGATGGCCCAGGTACTTGGGCCCCGCACCCGCATGGGAGACCAGAAATACCTGGTTCCTGCCATCCGATCGGCGCGGTGCGCCGGCTGCAGTGGCCATTGGGGAGTGAACCTACCGCAAAGGAAGACCTTTCTCTCAGTCTCTCACTGCCCACCCTGCATGAAGGAGTAACCACCAGTAACCCAACAACGAAGCGCTGGGAAATATGGGACTACCCACGAACCTAGAGCACTCCGGGACGTACTAAAAAGCCTAGGTTTCCCTAAAAACAAAGCAAAAAAAGCCTATGAAGAATTAAAATAGCTCCCAATCGCTTTTTCAGCAAAGACACCTGCCCTACCCCCATACTGAGAAAATAATAAACCTGCTATTAAAAACCAGCATTAAAGACGGGAACCACTCAGACTGCGTCCTCCCCCTCTCGCTCCCCGGAGGGAGACGAGAACGATCATCAATGGCAAATGGCGGCCGCAGCGAGGCGGCACCAAGAGCCGGCTTCACGCTCAGGGGACGACGCTGCGCCTCCTCCTCGTGGTTTCCGGTGCTCTACACGTTCAGAGAAACTTCTCTAGTAGCGAACTATAGAAATGATCCCTGAAAGTATAGTCTTGACCCACACCCTGCCGCCTCCGCCGGGCCTGCGCACGCCACACACTTCTGAGTGACGGTGAGTTCTCTTGTGCTTTTGTTTTCTTTTCATTTTGGGGGGCAGGTTAGACCGTTTGCTTTTTCAGTTTTTTTTTTTATATCTGCTCACTTGATACTGTTCAAAACACAGTTTTTACTTTTAAGTAGTTGAGGAACGTGGCAAAGCAGCCCAGTGCATTATTAACATACGGCTCCGCAGCAGCCACTCACACGCCGCCTCTGTCGCCCCACCCACCGCCCCGGTCCCGCCCGCGGCAGATCCAGGAGGTTCTGCCCAACCATCGTGAAGAGATGACTGGACCGCTGGCTGCGTGGGGAGACCCAGTTTCCTTTGCCTTGGAAGAGAGAAGGAGGAAGAGGGCAAGGGGTGCGCATTCCTAATGTCACACAACCACAGTCGTAGCAATCATAAATGGTCGTCTATTGAAGTCCTCCTTGGTAAGCAGTTGAAGGATCAGGATTGATGAGTTCCCCTTTCTTGCAGATGCTTGCTATGGCATCTGAAGGAAGGACATCTGGCAACCAAGACTGTCTGGCACTAAATTAGTAGGTGTTCTTTCTGTAAACCCAATGGTCCCCCGGGGCCAGCGTTCTGGTGCAGTGGGTTAAACTGCCGCCTGTAATGCCAGTTGGAGTCCCACCTGCTCCGCTTCTAATTCAGCTCCCTGCTATGGACCCCTGCAATCCATGTGCGAGACTGACAAGGAGTTCCAGACTCCTGACTTTATCCTTGTTCAGGCCAGGCATAGAGGCATTTGGGGAGTGAACCAGCAAATGGAAGATTCTGGCTCTTCCTCTCTTTAACTCTGCATTTCAAATAAATAAATCTTTTTTAAAAAGATTATTTTAAAAAGATTTATTTATTTTATTTGAAAGTCAGAGTTACACAGAGAGAGGAGAGGGAGAGAGAGAGAGAAGTCTTCCATCTGTTGGTTCACTCCCCAGATGGCCGCAACGGCCGGAGCTGCGCCAATCCAAAGCCAGGAGCCAGGAGCTTCTTCCAGGTCTCCCATGCGGGTGCAGGGGCCCAAGGACTTGGGCCCGGTTAGGGCGTCAGGTACTAGTCCCGGTTGCTCCTCTTCCAGTCCAGCTCTCTGCTGTGGCCCGGGAAGGCAGTGGAGGATGGCCCAAGTGCTTGGGTCCCTGCACCCACATGGGAGACCAGGAGGAAGCACCTGGCTCCTGGCTTCAGATCGGCACAGCACCAACTGTGGCAGCCATTAGGGGAGTGAATCAATGGAAGGAAGACCTTTCTCTGTCTCTCACTGTCTATAACTCTGTCTAATTAAAAATAAAATCAAATAAATCTTTAACAAAAAAACAAAGAGTTGCAGAGAGAGACCTTCCATCTGCTGGTTCATTCCTCAAATGGTTACAAGGAAGCCAGGAACTTCATCCGAGTCTCCCAGGTGGGTGCAGGGCCTCAGGACTTGGGCCATCCTCTGCTGCTTTTCCAGGCCATTAGCAGGTAGCTGGGTCAACTGGGATTCCAATTGGGATGCCGGCTTTCAAGTAGAGGCTTTACCCGCTATGCCACAATGCTGGCCCCCTTCCTGTCTTCTAAAACGCTTAGGAAGCCTACCCATTTACTTCTGGAAAAAGTTAGTTTCTCAAAGAATTCCTCAAAAATTTCATATATGATGTGTGATTCTTTTTAGTCACTGACTACCTGCTGTATAAATGGCTCCCATCCCACATCTTCCTTCTTGCCAGGGAGCACAGTGCTATGTGGACATTTGCAGAACAGTGTTCTCAATCAACCACATTTCTGATTGTGTCATGCCAGCATATCAGTCATCTCATCTAACCATCTCTACAGACAGCCCTCCCTGGAAAACGTCAAATGCTCTATTTAAATTCCCTTCAGAGAAATGGACAGTGTTGGGCCAATCTGGACAAATCTGGGACATATCTGTTGTCAGAGCAGTTCCTTCTATTTTGAAGTTAGAAAGCACCTTCCAGTCACTTTCATCCAAGAGCCTTGTCTTGGGCCCAGCACTGCAGCCTAGCAGGTAAAGCTGTTGCCTGTAGTACCAGCATTCCATATGGGTGCCAGTTCAAGTCCCAGCTGTTCCTCTTCTGACCTAGCTCTCTGCTATGGCCTGGGAAGACAGTGGAAAATGGCCCAAGTCCTTGGGCCTTGCACCTACATGGGATACCTGGAAAAGGTTCCTGGCTCTTGGCTTTGGATTGGCAGATGGCGGAAGGCGGATGGAAGCCTTCTCCCTCTCTGCCTCTTTGTAACTCTGCCTTTCAAATAGTCTTTAAGAAAAATAAAAAACTTAAAATCTCAGTCAACCACAGGTCTCATAAATCTCACCAGATGGAGCGGAACAGAAGGAGAAAGGGAAATCAGCTAAAAGCAAAGGTAGGTGGCCTGTGAGAGATCATAGGAGCCTGGTAGTGGCAAGACCTATGGTTTTCCAGCACAAATCAAAAATAAAAACAGCCAGGGTCGGCAGTATGGTGTAGCCGGTAAAGCTGCTACCTGCAACGCCAGCATCCCATGTGGGCACTGGTTCAAGTCCCGGCTGCTCTACTTCCAAGCCAGCTCCCTGCTAATGCATCTGTGAAAGCAGCGGAAGATAGTCCTAGTGCTTGGGTCCTTGAACCCACGTGGGAGACCCGGATGAAGCTCCTGGCTCCAGGCTTTGACCTGGCCCAGCCCCAGCCGTTGTGGCCATTTGGGGAGTGAATGAGCAGATGGAAGATCGATCGCTTTGTCTCTCCCTCCTTCTCTGCCTTTCAAGTAAATAAATCTTAAAAAAAAAAAAAAAAAAAAAGGGCCGGCGCCGTGGCTCACTAGGCTAATCCTCCGCCTTGCGGCGCCGGCACACCGGGTTCTAGTCCCGGTCGGGGCGCCGGATTCTGTCCCGGTTGCCCCTCTTCCAGGCCAGCCCTCTGCTGTGGCCCGGGAGTGCAGTGGAGGATGGCCCAAGTGCTTGGGCCCTGCACCCCATGGGAGACCAGAAGTACCTGGCTCCTGCCATCAGATCAGCGTGGAGGCCTGCCGCGGCGGCCATTGGAGGGTGAACCAACGGCAAAGGAAGACCTGTCTCTCTGTCTCTCTCTCTCACTGTCTACTCTGCCTTTCAAAAAAAAGGAAGGAAGGAAGGAAGAAAACCAGCCTCCTAACAAGGCTTTAAGACTTCTAATGAGCAGTATGACTGCAGTAGCAGAGAACATTTCATGTCTAAATTTACTGTTTAGATTTTTTTCCCAAAAAACTCACTCACAGTTTTATGATGTCCCTGATTTTCCTCCAAACACTATTCAGAAATGTGGGTCAGGTTGCTTCTGTCATCTCAGCACAGTACTTACCTTTCTTAAGAATTTTCTTAACTTTCACATAATTCCCCTGTTTAACATACTCATGAAGCTGAGCTTCTAAGGAGTCATTTCTTAAGGTACCAAGCTGAACAGGACAGGGTACTGGAAGATGAACAGTCCGTGACATCCTGTTTCAAAAGAGAACAACATGCTTATTCTTTTTTTTTTTTTTTTGATTTTTTTTTTTTTTTTTTTTTTTTTGACAGGCAGAGTGTACAGTGAGAGAGAGAGACAGAGAGAAAGGTCTTCCTTTTGCCGTTGGTTCACCCTCCAATGGCCGCCGCGGCCGGCGCGCTGCGGCCGGCGCACCGCGCTGATCCGATGGCAGGAGCCAGGAGCCAGGTGCTTTTCCTGGTCTCCCATGGGGTGCAGGGCCCAAGCACCTGGGCCATCCTCCACTGCACTCCCGGGCCACAGCAGAGGGCTGGCCTGGAAGAGGGGCAACCGGGACAGAATCCGGCGCCCCAACCGGGACTAGAACCCGGTGTGCCGGCGCCGCTAGGCGGAGGATTAGCCTAGTGAGCCGCGGCGCCGGCCAACATGCTTATTCTAACTGAGCTAGAAATGCAATGAAGAAACTTAGATTCTTTCACATGTAGAAACTTGCCCACTTTGATAAATACAGTTGTCTCTGGGTATCAGTGGAGAACTGGGTCCAGGATTCCTCCCCCTAACCCCAGTAATCCTCCAATGCTCAAGTCCTTTTTATAAAAATGGTGGAGTGTTTGCATATAGCCCACATTCATTCTCTCCTATACTTTAAATTAACTCTGGACTATTTATAATATCTAATATATACATGCTATATAAATAGTTGTATTTTTCAGGGAAAAATGACAAGAAAAAAGTCTGTACACATTTTGTGCAGATGCTATTTATTTCTTGAGGATATTTATGATCTTTGGTTGGTTTAATTCATGGATGTGGGACTCATGGATACAAAGGGCCAACTGTAATGAAGGAGATTATGCAAAAATTAATGAAATTCTATGAGGTTGATGAAACTAAAGAACTGACTATTCATCAGCATTTTTCTCTCTAGCTCTCTCTCTGTCTCTGCCTCTCTGTAACTGCCCTTTTTTTTTTTATTTTACTTTTTATTTTTTGACAGGCAGAGTGGACAGTGAGAGAGAGAGACAGAGAGAAAGGTCTTCCTTTTGCTGTTGGTTCACCCTCCAATGGCTGCTGCGGCTGGCGTGCTGGGGCCGGCGCACCGCGCTGATCCAATGGCAGGAGCCAGGTACTTCTCCTGGTCTCCCGTGGGGTGCAGGGCCCAAGCACTTGGGCCATCCTCCACTGCACTCCCTGGCCACAGCAGAGAGCTGGCCTGGAAGAGGGGCAACCAGGACAGAATCCGGCGCCCCGACCGGGACTAGAACCCGGTGTGCCAGCGCCCCAGCGGAGGATTAGCCTAGTGAGCCGCAGCGCCGGCCTGTAACTGCCTTTCAAATAAATGGATAAATCTAAAAAAAAGAAAAATATAACATTGTGTCATTAAGATAATTTTTATTTTTGTTTATCTGCTTTCTCCCATTGTATCTAATTATTTAAATTTTATTATTTTTTAAATTTTGGAAACTATTAACTTTGAAATGTTAGAACACAAATATGCAGTCATTATATATTTAAGATTAGGGGGTAGATACGTGGCACAGCAATTGAGTTGCTGTTTGGGATGCCAGTATCCCATATCACAGCACCTGGTTTGAGTCCTGGCTATTCCACTTCCTGCTAATAGGTACCCTGGGAGGCAGCAGATGATGGCTCAAGTATATATATACATATACAAAGTACATATATATATATATATATATAAATGCAAAGTATATAAATACAAAGTGTGTGTATATATATATATGGAGAGAGAGAGGGGGCAGTATTAAGTAGTGGTTAAGTTCATACTTCAGACTCTGAAGTTCTGGTTCTGTTACCTTAGAGAAATTATCCAACATTGATACACTTCCATGTCTTCATCTGTAAAATGCAGCTTAAAATAACCAGATGGTTGTTGAGAATTTCAAGTGAGTTAATATGTGTAGTGTCCTTAGAATAGTGCCTGGCACACCAGGAGTTCTCTGTAATTGCTAGCTATTACTGTACACAATAACCATGCGCAGATATTTTACTTTGTACATTTTAAAACTATACTTGACCATCATTCATACAAAATCAAGTGTTGTACCTACTGCTATGATTTGAATGTGTCCCCCAAAGTTCATGTATTGGAAACTTGATCGCCAATGTGAAGCTACTGGAAGTTGGGACCTTTAAGAGCTACTTAGGTTATGTTTACCCCCTCCTCATGAATGGAATGAATGCTGTTATTGTTGAGGGAACAAGGTTTTTGTTTGTTTGGTTGGTTGGTTTTTTTTTTTTTTTAATTCATTCATAGGAATAGGTTCCCTATAAATGGATCAGTTCAGGGCCCATTTGCACCTCCCACTGTCCCTGTACTTCTCCCACCTCCCACTCCTGTTGCCTCTCTTCCTGCAGTGATGCAGAAAAAAGGCCCTCGGGGTTGGCGCTGTGGTGCAGTGGGTTAATGCCCTGGCCTGAAGTGCCAGCATCCCATACGAGCACCGGTTCAAGTCCCGGCTGCTCCAATTCCTATCCAGCTCTCTGCTATGGCCTGGGATAGCAGTAGAAGATGGCCCAAGTCCTTGGGCCCACGCACCCACGTGGGAGACCTGGAAGAAGCTCCTGGCTGCTGGCTTTGGATCTGCACAGCTCTGGGCGATGCGGCAAATTGGGGAGTGAACCAACAGATGGAAGACCTCTCTCTGCCTCTCCTAACTCTCAAATAAATAAAAATAAATCTTAAAAAAAGGGGGGGGATGGGTGGGAGGGAAGTTATGGTTGGGGGAAGCCACTGTAATCCAAAAGCTGTACTTTGGAAATTTGTTAAATAAAAGGTAAAAAAAAAAACGCAACAGGTTAAAACCGCAGCCTATATAGCACTGGCCAAACGGATGCCAGTCCCCGCTGCTCCCTTTCTGAGCCAACTCTAAGAAAACAGCAGAAAATAGCCTAAAGCAAAAAATAGCAGCCCCATAGGATATTCACTAAGGACCAAGTTGTATCCACACAGGAAACCAACAACGAACAACAAATATCTTGTCAAACCACCTTTGTAAGACTAAAGGACACTTAAATCTACCATTCAAACACCAACACCAGGGGAAAGCGCGAACGCAGTCCCCCACTACCACAAATTATGCAGTCGAGTTTCCCACATTTGGGGAAATCGCAGGGGTCAGCACATCCGGAGTGCAATGGATGAGCCTCGCCCTGGGAAAACCACCTTCGTGATCATGGTATCTCCCCTGCCAGGTAAGTATGAGTTGCTAGCTTTGTCTGCTACCATACTCCCTTCATCAACATACTGTTTAGTAACGGTCAATTGTAATCCGGGTTGTTTGCGTCCTCATTTAGAATCTATACCCTTTTTCATCACAAATGAATCAGGGTGTATATTTTCTTTTGGACATTCGACGGAATTCTGCCCTATAAAAATCGAATTACAACCAACCGGCAACCTCCGCGCTCTTATCGACATATCCCCGCCTTCGTGGTGACGTCACACACTTCCAGGCTTTCTTCCTCAGACAGTGAGGAAAGACACCGAGGAGAGTGGCTAAAGAGACCGTAAAATGTCTTGTTTGGGGTGGGCATTGAGCACAACGGTTAGGAGTCGCTTGGGACCCCCGCAACCACGAACAGCGTGCCTGGATTGCAGTGCCCGCTGTGCCTCTGATCCGGCTGCACCCCGCGGGACTGCTAATTCTGGCTGAAGTACTGGGGTACTTGGCTCCCACGTGGAAGACCCTAAGGCTACTGCCTTTAGCCTGATAGCTGGCATTTGGTGAACGGGCAGATGAGTGCTTACTGCCTCTCCCCCTTTCAAATAAATATAACAAATAAATGAATAAATAATTTTAAAAATTTTTTTTGGTTTTTCAGACACACCCAACGGTTTTGGTGTGGATTTGTGAACCTAATTTTGTGACCTGAGGGAGTGATCCAGCTGACCTTACAAGGTTCTAATCATCAGACTGAGAGTCACTTGCTTCTTAAATAGAGAAGAACTTCGATGGCCAGTACTGTCCTGGGGTGGTTTGTGCACCGGAATTCCAGGTATGGGCAGAAGGCAGCTGCCACCTGCAGGTTGTAACCCCCAGACCAGCTGGAGCTCCCTAAAGAGCTCCGCATCACTGGCCAATGGAAGGAAGGTCATGAGTACCACTGACCAACCAGGAACTTGGACACGAGCTGGCCAGCCACCACTCAGCCCCGATTTCCGTCTAAAAGAACCTTCACCCCTAACTCCACGAGGAGCCTGGGAATTAACAGTAGCTGCCTGGCTCCTTGCTCTGCACTGTCCAATAAATACCTACTTTCATCCACCACCCCAATGTCACTGACTGCCTTTCCGCGCATCAGGCGAGGGGACCTAGTTTGAGGGTTCTACAGCAATCTCTCAACTACTTTGGGGTGTTGCTCAGCAACATCAATGGAATTATTTTCCTCTTGGTACACGTGATTTTTTTTAAAAGCTTACCCCCATCTTTTAAAAATACTTTTGGAGGGTATTTTTAATTATTACAATAGTGACAAGTGTCTCTTGTAGATAATTTGGAAAAGACAGGAAAGGTTTAAAAATAAAATAAAATCGAGGGGAAGAATCACCATGTTCCCAATCTGCATATATTCAATGCATGACGTTGTATTCCTTAAACAAAATTTAAAAATAAAATAAAATCTACCAAAATGCCACTAAGACGAATATTTTGACCTTATATGTTGTAATTCAACTTTTTATTCCTTTATATTTAAAGGGAATATACTTCATATGCTATTTTATAACATTTTTCATTCATTATGCTATACACTAGCTCATTATTAATTCATATAAAATATGCAGTTGTTCCCTATTATCATTACATATAACTGCCATCAGCATATAGACATATTTTTGTAACTAATTATGGCTTCTTAGAGTAAATTCCTACTTTTCACTTTATTTCAGTTTTTTTTTTTTTTTTTTTTTTTTTTTTTTGACAGGCAGAGTTAGACAGTGAGAGAGACAAAGGTCTTCCTTCCATTGGTTCACCCCTAAAATGGCCGATAT